TTGCCTTTAATGTAGGGAGAGCTTCCAAAATGAACAGCTAATAAAACACTTCCCGGCTAAAGTTCAATAGATGCATTTCCAGCCTTGTAAATTTGGGTCACAACATTTTACCAGATACTAGCAACAAATCAGGCAACACTGCTAAAACAAGGAGCAGAAATCCACATTGTCTTAGTGGCTCTCTATATGTTTAGATCCCAGAGGAGGGATGGGGACTGTGCTGATTTTGCTCATTGGACTGATGAAGCTATCCTGTTCAGTCAAAACTAAAGAAAAAAAAAAAAAAAAAACAAGTGTGATGTTGCCCAAGTAGGAAGATTGGGTGCAGTGATCTGCTGTTTTGCTGATTATTTGCACGCATGAAGTTTGTGAATTCGCTTATCAAATGCTACATGACCAAGCGACATGTGTCTTCAGTCTCAGTGTGACATGAAACTTTACAGCCTGTGAATGCGAGAGCGTTCACAGCAGGCAGGATAACCCATATCCTTAGGTTGCAGCACTGAGGTCATGCAGCTCTCTTGGAGAAGGATAATAAATGAAAATTTTGGGTTTAGACTTTAAATAGTTCTTTAGAAAAGATTAATTATTTATCTGCAAATCTTGTGTGATCCTTATTTGTTTTCAGAACGAAATTTCCAAGAGCTGGGAAGATTTGTTTTCTGGCATGCATGAGGCATTTTTCCATTGGTCACTGCATTCTTGCACTAATTGAGTTTAGAAAACTCTTCAGCTGCTGCCTGGCTGGCTACAATCCGTGAAAAGGAAGCATCAGAAACGATGGGATCCACTAGCTACTTACACTTTACCATCAAAGATGCAACAACAGCAAAATATAACAGAACTGTGTTCTGGTACCTTGGCTCTTGGAGAACATGAAGAATCGCCACAAAAGAGCAGATCAGCATCTTCCTTCATTAAATATCTCATACTTCTCAGTGAAGGAGGCCACTGGTTTTTAAAATGTATACCTCTGTGCAAAACAGGATCCTTCTGAGTCCTCTAGTGATCACTTTGCTGCCTGAAGTAAAAACTTTATTTCAATAGTTCTCAAGCACAAAACATCAACAAATGTGTCACTTTCACTGGTTAAAATTATCCATTCTGCTAAAAAATCATACAATACACAATTCAATAACAAACTGTAACATACTGAGAGCTGGTATTGAACTTTTTATGCGATCGCGGACAAGTCTATTTTTCTAAATATCCTTTTACTTTTAGAAATATGTTATATGACAAGATATATAGGTATAATTGACCATATTTTGGCATAGTTCTCACCTTTGTATTAACATTTCAGATATTAGATGAGGAAGATGGAGAAAAAATGAAATTTCTTTACCTAATTTTCCCTGGAGAGTATTTCTTCTCTTTCAAACAGGAGGAAATTTAGAATCATGTTACAGCTGGCCCTACTAGCATATTGACCTTGACTCTTTGTTGCCTTAAACTCCCAGTACTTACATATTTGTGTGTAAGTGGAAGCTAAAGTGCTGTTCTCCTGGAATGTTTACCTTTTGAACTTCATGTGAATCTGATTTGTAAAAGACGACAAGTCCAAGAGAACCAGCATCACGATTTCACCAAAAAGTTGATCTATTTTAAATGCCAAACTCCTCTGTAACTTGGATATGAACACAGGGTCTGCAAAACTTCTATAGGTTTGATTCGTGTCTCTGCATGTGGGCACCAGATAACATCTCCATTAGCATCCCAGTAATTCAAGAGCACAAATTTAAAATGCTCCTTTATCCTGACAGCATAGGTGGACAACTGATTGATACCGAAGGTTGCACTGCAGTTTCCCCTGGACTCCACACAGGCTCCACCCGAACAGAGGTAAAGCTCAGCTCAGCTCGCCAAGGCTCGCCTTGGTCAACCTCTCTTGGTCTCCTCCCTCCGGAGCCGCGTTACCTGTGCAGTATTTGCGCTCCAGCAGTGTCCAAGGAAACCGCTGGAGAGCAGCCCTGTTCCCTGGCAGCACCGTGTTCTGCGGGCAGCTCTTCCCAGGAAACAGCCGGAGCAGCAGCCAACGGAGCCGCTTCGTGGAGGGGGGCAGGTCTCAGCCACGCACACCACAGCTTGCAGGGAGCTCAGAGCAGCCCCGGCTGAGCAGGGCACACGGACTAGGGCTCTCAATTCACAAAACTGCTGTTTGAAAGATTCCGTGGTAGAAAGACACTGGTGGGTGTAAAGACACCTGTCAGCTGTTAGGACAATTAAGGATCACTGTGAAATCAGGGACTTAGGAGTTAAGCCAAATCCATTTTTTTTTCTGGAAAATATAATAAAAACATAAAATAACAAAAATGTCTTGGCAGGATGAGTTCAGAATTGTTTACTTTTTCTTGAAATGCCTTCTGGTAAGAGCGACTTATGAACAAATACCCCTTAGCTTCTGTGGGCCTGACTACTCACCATCTCGCATCCTACTGACCTGTCTCTTCACACTTGTGCAAAGCACAGGAAAAGAGGCTGCCAAACATGTGTCTTACTTAAACAGCTGCAGTTATTTCAAATAAGGCAGCGAAGACAAGAGTCCAGAGCCGTGTTTGCGGATCCCTGCTCTGTTACTCTCTTTGAAATTAGAAATACATTATCAAGTACTCTGTGCTCAACAGAACTAAGCACAGATACAGCTGGTGTTTGTGCTTCACTGAAGAGCACAGCCTCTCTTCTGACCTGAAGCTCTTCATCCATCTTCCTGCTCTTAGCACCAGGGCATTCTTTTCTTCTTGCTTCTCCTTGTATACAAGGAAATTTAGGATCTAATTCCCTCTCCTACAGCCTAACTCCTGCAGTATGAGCATTCTGTTAAACACATTTCAGTTCCCAATCCTGTTTTTACAAGCTGGAAAGCCAAAGCAAAAAAAGGCACAGTCTTTAACCTTATTTTCAAGGCTATGCCATCAATATATGGCTACTTTCCTATTTTGTGTACATACACCTACAGGTAGGCACATGTATGTTTTTAGTTCTAGGTAGGTGTGTGTGTGTAGAGGTGAAACCCAGCTGAAATTGGCCACCAAGTGACCCACCATTCGCTCTTCCCACAAGCAATGGAGAAGGCCTCGATGACAGACATGTCCGACTGCTTAAGCACCGTTCCTTAGGAAACGAGTCCACAGAAACACAAAACTCACGTGCTAGAGCTGGGGGTTTGACATGTGCCCCATCTCGCCCGCCCTGCACAGTACTGTTCACTTGAACAGAACTAATCACTCCGATTGCATAAAGCCAAGTGCTTGTCTAAATCCTCACATGACTGATGACTAATGTTCACTGTTCAAAATTCTCTCTGAAGACAGAGGAAATGATTGTTTCATTTGAACGCTCCAGTCTTTCCTTAATCAAGTTAAATCTCTATTGTTTAGAATATCTAAGAAGCATGACCCTGTTTAATCTATAGCTTCTGCTTTTGCCCTTTTGGAGAATTTTGCATAAATACTAAATTTCAGAAGCAAAATATTGCAGCTTGGATGAGAGTTAAGCTCCATTTTTGATGATGAAAACTGAACACGGAAGCCAAACATAAGAGCTCAGTTTCACGGTGTTCAGTGCCCAAAGTAGAGCTCCGTAGCATGATCTCAAGTACAATGGGTGCGTACCATTTAAACAGATATAAAGAATTGCCTTAAGGTCCACCAATGTATGAGGTTACTGTAAGACACCAAGTTTAAATGCTTTATACTCTCTAGCAATTTAGTAAGCTTTTGAGAGAAAATAAGGCTCTCCTCAGGCTGCGCCTCTTCCCGATGCCCCTTTCCAGCGGCTGTAGATGTTGTAGCTGTGGCCGAGACGCCACAG